AAAAAAAAAAGAAGAAAACGATTTTCCTATTCTATTGTACTTTGTACCACCAGTTCCACAACAGTTTTATAGGTACACTCTCGAGGATTATCCAGGATCTGTGTCTACCACTTCAGTACTTACTGAATTTTACATTTAATTAATTTTAAAATCAGTTTCACAGTTTCATGTTAGCGTGAGAAAGAATTATCGGTAAATATTCACATTACTTGACACAGCTTTGATGACCGTGAGCTTGAAATAAGTTTCCAGCAGCATGACTTTAAGTGAGTTCTTCCTATAGATGTAACCGTCGCATCGTTTAACTCTAGTTTCCCAGATATTCGCGGAAATGTATCCGAAAAAGAGTCATGGTAATTATTCAGAAAGAGAACAACTACCGTAGAATGATGCGGACCGAAGTTGTCGGTATAAGCGCTTATTCGAATTTAATGTATAACAATTTATCTCTCTTAACATTTACTCTTAACATGTTGACTGCCACGAGAATTTCGAGCGTTTTTTTATGGTAAGATTAATTCCTTTATAATAGAAGAAAATAGTACTATCTTTCTCGTATCTCATACATCCAAAAAAATTCGGTTCGTTCGATACATTACCGAGAAAATTCATAATTAAGTTTACGTGAAAAATAGTGTCACCCAAGTTTCGGTGACGTGGCAGTCGAAGTGTTAAAAATTCAATACGTGGGAACAGTTTTTCCTTGATCTACCGTGTTCCGAAGGAAGTCGGTTCGGCAAGACGTGTGGGCGGAAGTCGTAGAGCAGTCGGTCTATTACACATTAACCTGGTACCCATGTAGAGAACACGTCGGGAACGAAACCTCTCAAATGTATTCAAGACTGACATTTCCATCCACAAACATCTTTCCGCTGCCACCATTACCACCTCCGCCCCTCACGTTCGCCGTTTCGTCGATGTTTCCTTGGTATTTCGTCGCCGTTCTCGCGCCGTTCCCGCGGCGTTTCCCGTTAAGCGACCGCAACTCCAAGTAATTACCGATCAAGGTGTCGGTTACCCGCTCAAAGGGTTAACTTAATCATTATCCGAGTACCGAAGATTTGCGCTCCCCCGGGATACCGGGCCTCTCGAAATTGCGTTCCGTAATTGACGGAAACCGGTTCTGTTTGCCTTCTTGCTTAGAGTCTACAGGGTGGTCCACGGGACGGTCAAATGTATTAGAACGCTTACTAGATTTGAAAATTCAACATCGCAGACTTCACTCTATAATCTTGTCTTGTTTCCTGTGTACCACTAATTTATACGTGACGCTGGTTACTGATACATATTAAGGCGCCTGTTATTAAATGTTTCACCTGTAATTTAACCAGTTCGATCTGGAACAAATTAATTTTCTAGAAACCACCCTACGATTAAACAGAAAATAAAGTTCTAAAAAAGTCTTCTAAATCGGACATTTCTCACGTACAGTGAATATAAGAAAACGCAGTAATTTCTGAATGGAAATACAGAACGATACACGAGTAATATAATATGTCAACTAGTAATGACAGTTATAAATAATAAAAGACATAATTTAAGACATAGTAATTTTAAAACTACGTTGAAAATATGAATAGTATTTATATTTCTTTAAAGTGCTATAAGTTCAATTTGAAGTGGTTGTCGCGTACCTCTGTGTACAGTTACTGACTCGACTTACTGAGTAGAGTATACAGTCGTCTCTTTACCCGAAGAATTCATTCCACGTGCATTATTTTTACGCGAATGAAAATCGCATAAATAGGCTCTGTCGGTGCAAACGAAATAAAACATTGAAAAGCAAAGCTGGTGTAAGTTTAAGAAATATATATTTGTTGCACGCAGCTTAACAAAAAAGAATGATGACATTTCAGAAAACGAAAGTAAATTTTATTCGACGTCATTAAAATCATTTTCAGAATCAGTTTTCTGGAAAATGTAGCGTTATCTAAAACCAGAGGTGTAAACATAGGTTATATCAGTTACATGAATAAACACGAATTATTTACCTTGTGTAATACGAAGTGTCTGATTTTGCAAAAAAGAGGAAGCTCTGTTTCATGTTCTAAAAGACGTTCATTCATTGATAATATACTCTATTCGATTCGTTACGCTTCTGCAGGCGTGTTTTTAACGAATACATCGTTATTCGTCAAATAGACACCGCTCTAAACTACTGTTTCGTACGTAAATACAATATTAACGGAAAATTGGTGCGTTCGTTTATTTACAAAGAACAAAATGAGAAAATTGCTTATTGATTCGAGAAAGCGTTCAGTCGTCTGCAGGTGATGAAAAAACTTTTCGATAGATTCCGTTCTTGCTTTCCTTATCTAACACGCTCCGTGCCACGGAAATTTCGGTCATATTTTGCTTATGAACTGTATTGATTTTTTAAATAAAATATTAAGTTATATTCAAGTTCTTTTTTAATTTTATATATTTTGATATCGTTTCTTGGTGTTTTCGGTGCTTTGTAACTATACAGCTATTCTTGACCATGTGTCCCTTAAAAATATTTTGTTACGAAAATTAACGTGTACCACATGTGATACACGAGGCACTGAACGTGTTAAAGTACTAATACTACTTCAGTGTCCACTTACAATTAGTAACTTAAAAAGAGACTAAAGTATTTATTACTTTCTCGATGATGTTTTTATGATATCATAAATTCTTATTCTATTTCTTTAATATTTGAATTTGCACGGAAATAATCGTTTCTATGGTCACATTGATAATTTTGATTGGACACTTTCCAGCAAGGGAAGTAGACGTGGTTTGTAAAACTTCCAGGCGTAACAAAGGCTCGAAGAAGCAGTACACAAGCGAAACTTAGCGAAATTCTGCATCAAAAGGTGTGCGTCGCACCCTCGAAAGGGTTGTACGTCGCCGAAGAAATTGTTTCAATCGTACACACGCTTGGTTTCTCCGAGTTCCGATGTTTTGGAGCGCGAATGTGGGTCTTCCCCAATTATTCTACAATTCTACATTATTCCGCTCGCGGCGACTGTATAGATTCACGTTGAAACAGTCTGCAAAGATTTCTCGCGTATTAGTACGAAAAGGGAATCAATATTATTTTAATTGTCTCCCCTTGAAGTAAGAAACTGATCGAAGCGATCAATTTCCAATTTCCCCTACGCCAAGGCAGCGATATAGTCAAACTCATTGTCCCAATTTATTTTTTGTTCCAGTGACGGTAGTGATTTATTAGACGACGCGGGAGACGATGCCAAATCCGTTCGCACAAACGACGATAGTAAAAAGTGAGTAAAACGGTATTTATCCTATTACATTTGTAAGAATACGTACAACAAAGAAATTTAAGTTTGTAATGACTATGGTAATTCAATTCAAAACGGATGAATCGTTGTAACAGTAAATAACGCATGGAGAAATTTATTCTATATAATTGAATGACTTCACCAATCAATTTCAAGCAAGACTCATAAGGGAACGTATCTAACTGGAACACATCGACTGTGACAAAATTTGTGTGCACTCCTCTTCAAAAGGATAGCCCAGGTGTGCTATCTTTAAATTTCTCAATGTCGCATGCAAAATTTTACATCTATGACGAGTAACTTCAAAATATTATGACCTAAAGATATGCGGTTCATAGAAAATAAGTCACAATATCGTAGAGGTTTGTATACAATAAAGAAAAAGTATTCCGTACCAAGGTCAAAATGATAGCACAGTCTGTTAATATGTTTAAAAATTCTTCAGTATTCCGTGATCATTCACGAATGAACATTACAATTACTATATTATACAGATTTAAAACTATGGGACGTGGAAAAAGGTTGAACGAGTCCAAAAAAACAAATTCTTAAATTAAAAAGACAGCTGACAGTAGCAAAGATATATAAGATAAGAAAAAGAAGTCGTAAAGTAATACGTAATTTCTTAAAGAATGTTGAAAATTATGACAAAAAGAACCGTCGATCATTCACGTTATCTGATCGTGATAAACGAGCAATTTTGCCGTACCTTCCAATTCACAGTGAACGACCAAGCAAATAGTAGGAAAATCCGGTGTTAGTGCCAGTATGTCGGGTGTTCGACGATTTCTACTATCGTCTAAACATATTAAAAAGCTAAAGTTGAAAAAAATACCTGCGATAATAACGAAACATAAAGGTGACCGTCTACAATTTGCAAAAGAAAGAGTGCATTGGAAACAAACATGGAGAAAAATATTATTTTCACGAGAAAAAAAAATTAAATCTGAATGATCCCAATGGATTGCAGTACTGTTTCCATGACACACGAAAAGAGATGATGTCAACAATGTCAACAATGCGACGACAAATGGAAGGAGGCAGCGTAATGGTTTGAGCCAGCATTGGTTATTTCGGCAATTATAATATTTTGAATGGGATATCTTAAATCAAAATTATATCCAAATCTGTATAAATCCATACCAAATCATTTAATAGATGTACTAGAAAATAAAGGGAGACGTACTCATTATTAATAAAGAACATATGTTTAATAAGTTACTATTACTATGTAAAATATATGTTGATTATTGATGAAATGTCTTAAGAATCGATTACTTGTGTCAGATTTTCAAATACAACGCTTCATATCAATAATAAAGATGCACGAGACATCTCGTCCATAGCATCGTTTCTTCGACATCGTTGGATCGAGATATCTTGTCCATTGTAGCGAAAGAATTAATCACGGCGCCACAGGAAATACATGGTACATCGCGTTAAGTTTTTATTGAGCCCCGAAATAATGGCTGCTACCTCGCGTAAAAGCCAGGGACTGTTTTATACTCATTAGAACAGCAAGGATGATTAAGTGATATCGATCTAGAATGGACTGTATATCGTGTAGATTTTGACGCTCAAGATGCAAATCGACGCTGAGTTTGAGATGTTCAAATATTGATCGCGCGAGAGATGGTCAAGGATAAAGGTGAAGGTGTTTTCGCCGTTTTCCGAGAGTATTTCCGGGAATAGTCAATTTTTCTATTGGTTGTCTGAAAAAGAGATTTCCCGATTGGTGTGGAAATTGGGGCAATTGTGACCGTATTCGCGGAGGGAGATCCTCGTGTACACAGAAAGATGCTCGTACGACGGTCGAAAGTTCTTGGCATGTGTTAAATGACCGTAGCTTATTCTCCCGAAAGTTATAAACGAAAAGTCGCAATACAAAATAAGGGGCCTAGAAAAATCACCCGCAATTAATCGGCAATATAGTATACACATGATTGCTAGCATATTTTATCTCCAGGCAATACATTTAATTTACATAATTTATACAAATGTTTTGATCATTTTAAATTGAAGATAAAGTTTTATTAGCTCTCCCTTGGAACGTGACAGATAAAGCATCCTTAGTCTTAAATGTTATGCCTCATCGCAATTTCAATATCTGTAGGCTACTCATTTTTTCGAGTATAAAATTAAATCTTATAAGATATAGAATATAGAATTTCTGGCAATTATACGGTAAATACACCCTTCCCTCAAAAAATATCCAGATATCTATCATCATCACAATGAGTGAAACTCATTTCTATATATTGTATGGAACAACATTCGAAATTACCGCGATTCAGTAGAACTGTTGAAATCTTTATAGAAAGCGTAACATTAGTAGATAGTATAAGATTGAAACCTAAATGAAAAATAACTTTTCATGATTTGAAATATGCTAGCGATCATTTATAGGTTACGTACGAGCTAAACTGACGCAGCGGTAAACTGCTAGCGATTAATTACGGATGACTTTCCGGAGCCCAGAATAATAAAGAGCCACTTGCTACTTGCTTAGAGATTTAGAAAGTTGATTTTCTATTGATTTTTATTTAGGGTTACAGTATTATTACAACCAAATATGTTGGGTCAAGTATTAACTCTTTGCACTCGGAAGTTTCTCAGTAGAAATATTTGGACATTTTCTGATGAAATATACACTGCGTTGTTTGAAACTAATTTAACGATAATTCACAGATACATTAAGCAACAATATTTTATTTAAATATTTCACATTGCAAAATATAATTTTAATTTAAAATACTGAATATTCAACTTCATAGTTTTGCTGTATCAAATCAAGTGGTGACTGACTGAGAGTCACCTTTCGAGTGCAAAGGGTTAAAACGATTGAGCAACGCTGTTCCAGAACAATCTGTATTAACACATTGCGTACCGGCTAATTTTCAGAAAACTGAATTGTGATGGCAATTTTCACCGAGGTCAACTTATATCACTATACATAGAGAAACTCAGATATCATATTGTTATGTAATACATTTTAAATAGATAATCAATTCGAATTAAATTTAATGTTTCTTTCAATGCTGTGGTAATTAGTGAAGTTGCATAGCTAAGTGTCTTTATATAAAAACGAGATTTCTCGTTACCGGTACGCAATTAGTGTTAAGTACCTACTTTCTGTACAAGTGGGAGGAAACAAGAAATTCCAGAATTACGTGGGTACACAACTACTTCCTATTTCTATTCGTAGTTGACACACAGGCGAATTTACATGAAATCCCGTTTTTATTTTCACCATAAAATGGTACTAAAGGAGTGGTTTTGCTTATTAATTTATTACGTAATTCAATTCCCAATTGAAAATCGTACAAGCTAATTCCCTTGAGACGACGAGCCGAGACAAAAACTGTATCTACTATCTTTACTTTCCGGAGGCCATTTTCATTAGTTCAACATGAACAATTGCCTGTAAATTACAACTGCCTTATGGCAGCCGAATGACGAATGCCTACTAACAAACCGAACACGAGCACGGTCTACGAAGTCCGATACGTAATCACTAATGCATTACTCAGTATAATTTTGCGTACATTTCCGAAAGTAAGCCCAAGCGGTGTTTATCTGTATTGAGAAAAGTTATGCAAAATGATGTCTTAGACAACATACCTGAAGGTCGCCGCGGTCGGTAAAATGTCGAACTAAACAATTCAAAATAATTATCAAAGTTTCGTTTTACTTGTATCACGAGATGGAATGTAACACGAAAAGACATGTATAGAAAAAAACTTGTACAGAACGATGACCTTGGGGATATCCCTCAAGGTCATCGAAATCAGCGATGAGACTTCTTTTTAAATAATTACAGTTTTCAGAACGGTAAACTGTACAACGCGTCGATAAAACGCGCGTAGGTATGCATACGATAAAAGGAAGTAATTAGAATTGCACTTGAAATTATCGGAGATGATGGTCAACTACGCTTTGTTCCAGTCGTATCGAAAAACCGCATTACGTGTGCAAAGCTTAGTCCTGGCCAGTGGTTACGTACTATTATGTCAGGTGCGGGTAAAGTAACTGCCACCTTGACCTACCTTGATTTCTTTACTCTGGCTTCACCGGCCACGTCACTAATCCGATTCACGTCGCCGTGTCCAGAGGCATGATCTTGAAAAAGACGCATCGTTCAACTACAGCTGACCCTTCAGCAGCAGTATTGACCTATCAACCGAAGAAGACGATTAAATTCGTCGTGTATCTTTGTCTATTTCTTCGGATAATTATTAATCTCTTTGATTTATTCCTTTTTCTAATTCTTGCATATAATTGTATCGTAATATTGGTAAGTTGATCATCCACGAATATGTGTTTAAATCTTTTTTATTTCTGTCATATCAGTAGAAATTATTTTTAAATATTACGGAGACGCTGCTACACTTATATTTATTAAATATTACAGATGATAATTACTAATGCATTAAACTCTTAACCTTAAATGTTCGCGAGCACTTTTAAGAGCTCAATCTGCATGTTTATATAGACAAGAAATTATATACCTTCTTTATATCCGTAATGAATTTTATTGGTTCTTTCTTAGACTTCCTTTACGATACATAGTATCGAATGATTGCAACGATTTGCACTAAGCCGAAATAGTTTCTAAATAACAATCGAGATTTGAATAAGAATATTTGACGTTACTCGTTCGTACGAATATTTGCAGGTGATTTTTCGATCGATCTATTGATAGTGCAAAGACTAGAGATTTATTATCCGAAACCAGTATTTGCATGTAATTGCTGAGTTTTCTGAGCAAACAGTTGCAAAAGAAACTGTCACGAATGACTAACCGATGACTTCTATTAAGTTATAATGAAAATCGGTTCGATTGCGGATATAAACATGTTCTAATTGTATCAACTTAGTTATTACTGATTATAAATGGGACTTTAAAATAGGGAAATAATAAAGAAGATTGTATTAAGAGAAAGGAGAGTAAAAATTCGCTACCCTACTGAATATGCAGATAATTGTCATCGGTAATATCTTAAAAAAATACATGTAGTGGTTTCTCCTGAATATTTAAAAATATTTTCTACTTATAGATAGAAAGAAAAATAATTTAAACTATATTCGTGGACGATGAACCCGCGAATATTATAATACAATTATACGCAAGAATTTCGAAGGGAATAAATAGAAGAGATTAATAATTATCCAAAGAATAATCCATCTTATTCGGTTAATAGGTTAATTGAACCACTGAACGGTCGAGTGTAGTTGAACGACTCGTGTCGCCGTTTTCAAGACCGTGTCCCTGGACACTGCGACGCGTGTAATTGAGCGTGTAATGCTGTACTTTATTAATAAATGAAAGAAATCTTGCACTTAAGGGAACTTATTTATGTTACAATTCAATAATTGCTTTTACCTCGAAGAAGGAGAAATACACCTTCCCATCCTTGGCGATGTTGGCTACCTCTTCTTCGGGATGCAACGTACCTAGAAAAATATCATCTTTCGAGTAGAAATGGAAATTTTTGTACACCTATAAAAGGTTGTATGAAACTATATAAAACTATATAAAACAATACAGAACTACAGAAAACTATACAAAAATACATAAAACTGTATAAAACTATACAAAAATACATAAAACTGTATAAAATTATATAAAACTATATAAAACTATATAAAACTATATAAAACTGTATAAAACTGTATAAAACTATATAAAGCTATATAAAACTATATAAAATTATATAAAACTATATAAAACGATTAGCCAGACGATTTTGAGCAAAAGTGACGACTGTGAAATTAAATAAAAGAAAAATTAAATATTGTGTAAAAAAGAAAATGTTCATGAAAAAATGATACAGTTCTTTCAACACTGAACAAGTAAAATAGAGGTATGGCGAATGCACAGATTATCCACGACGAGCTTGCAACTAATTATTTAACTCTTTGTACTCGGAAGTTTCACAATAGAAATATTTGGACATTTTCTGATGAAATATACACTACATTGTTTGAAACTAATTTAACAATAATTCACAGATACATTAACAATGCTATTTTATTTAAATATTTCACATTGCAAAATATAATTTTAATTTAAAATACTGAATATTCAACTTCATAGTTCTGCTGTATCAAATTAAGTGGTGACTGAGAGTCACCTTTCGAGTACAAAGGGTTAACATGTTGAATGCTGCACGACTTCGTAGAACAAAATACACAAAATGGAAAAAATATATTATTAAATCATTCGATTGAATTGTATTATTATTATTGCGCGTTCATCTAGCTGAATGTCATCGCGTTAGGTAGCATTATTTATAATATAGAAACGTTTTCAAATAATTGTTTAATTAAGAGAACTATAGCAATTCGATCTGGTTGTCGGTCACCGATGAACCCCATGGCATTCAACGTGTTAACAAGAAATATGCAGTCCTTTCTTTTTTCTCGTTCTTCCTTCTACGACAAAAAGACTCCGGTTGTGAATAACTGTGCGAAAATTCAATAGTATCTCGAGGCGGTCAGTTCTGCCGTTCAATACGTCGTCGGCTACCAGACCTTTAAATGCGAATCAACACTGACAAAAGCACTGTTTATTAGCTGATTCGTCTTTCATAATTGATTGACGACGATGCTGTCGGTTATCGCGTTGTCGAACGAGATACTCGAAGTGACGCGTCGCGACGCGACACGAGAACAAGACGGTGGAGTGAAGAAACCTGTTAATTGAGCACGAAAAAGTAACTCGTTTATAGTTTTTACACGTTTCATTGACAATAAGTATATTTCCACTGTATTATTCGTGTTTAGCACAATTCATTTTTAGAGATCTCCTTCTGAATAAGATAACTTGTGTTATTGTTATTCGTTTTAATTATGTTTCTATGACCAGTGTATTTAAAAATGAAAAAAGAACTGTCCCAAAGTTAGTACATTATAATGTTTTAGTATCAAAATTCGTTTTCATTTTGCAGATTTCCCTTTTGTGTTTATTTCAAGCTTCTTCGGATTTTTATCGTGCAACTTGTAAAATTTTCGAAATGTTTGATTCTGTCTGATTAGCTGTCGGAAGTCTAGTTAATGCTGACTTCGCCTTAATTCTTATTCTATTCTTTATTTCGCCGTTTAAGTTATAGATTTTCATATACTGATTAGACGAATATTCTTATTTATTTAATACTATTTATGTCTGATTCAGATGAAGTTGTCAACAGTTGTGAAACAGGCCCTATCTTTTCGAAAGAATTACGTTTATGAATATCACGGGCAAGGACATCTCTAATAACACGAATGAACGCAGGGAATTCTGAACGATTTTTCGTCAGCAAATTCCGTACGGTTTTCTATTTTGGTCTCTACTCGATCGAATTACTGTCAACTTGTTCGATTCGGCATACACTGAAACTGCGTAGTTTCATCGCGACATATGTAGCTACTGAAACGCAGGAGAATTGACAAATATTATGTGCATAAAAAATGAAATACTTAACTAACCATCAAAGACGAACACTGCACGTTAAAATGAATAAAACTACAGATCAAAATTTTTACGTTAAAAACATTTTTTCCGAAGAAATAATGATCGACAAATTTTCGAGTTCGAGTCTCTTTCAAAATTTTATACTTACTTACTGTTTTTGCTTATAATAAATGTCGATGTTTAATATCAATTACCACTAAGTCACAGGTGTTAATATACATAAAATGAAAGTTAATTGCCGCTATTCACGATACATATTTCTATATTATCGATCTCTTGCTACAGCACGTTATAATGTTCAGTTAAGTAGAAATAACTGGCAATGATCAGACATTCCAATTAAGATTTGTAGTTGCGGATAATAGGTAAAAACTTACCATAATCGGAAAATTATAATTTTTCCTTTTAGGGAAAAATAAACTGGATGTTTTTAGAGTATTTACATTTATTTATATAATTATTGTGGTATGAATATAACAATTTTTAAGAAGGCATTATATTTCAAAATTTACACCTATCCTTTACAACTTTTCTTTCATTTACAAAGTAGATAATTATGTATGTCCGATTTCCTGAAATGTGTAGAATCATGTCCTGTATAGAACTTTTGTTGTCTCTGTTACGCGAGGGCGTACCCGAGTAGTAGGCGATGGTTTCAAATCGAGAAGGAATAATTTTTCGATTTTAATCTTTCCCTATATAGAGAAATAGGTAAATGGAATACGAAAATACTTGGAAAGTTTTGGAGCCTTACATTTGGAAACAGAATGAGAAAGAATTTATAATGAATTAAAGTAATCAATTAAGAATCAGTCAAAAATATATTGTGAACAAAGTGAGAATTGACTATTACAAAAGTTTGATAATGCGTAGTTAAAATGTTGAATAAAACTGTCGATGATCCACCCAAGAACAGTATCATTGATGATTCAGGAAAAGAAGCAATTTGGTACAAGCACATAAAATATGAAGTATAAAGTATAAAGTATAAAGTATGAAGTATGAAGTATGAAATATGAAGTATGAAGTATGAAGTACGAAGTATGAAGTATGAAGTATGAAGTACGAAGTATGAAGTACGAAGTACGAAGTACAAAATACAAAATATAAAATATAAAACATAAGCACATATGTATATATATATCAAGCGGTGTGTGGTATACAATATTATCAGAATTTTATATGAAGTACAAACCCAGTAAGAATGATACCAAAGCTAATATGACTACTGGAAATTATTCGACTATCGAAAAATAAGCAAACTGAAGAAGTAAGGAAAATAATTCATCAATTAATTAATTGACAGAAACGGGTGTATTTGACACGTCTATGTTTTCTCTCTGCATTTCTTGAATTCCTTTCCTTCATCAGCTAATTATTCTTGCGTGAGAACGTTCGCGGTATTTCACAGGACGAATGCTTAAGATAAATATCGAGATTGGTTTGAATGACATCGTATATGATACAATCTTGTTCTTATGAATCAGTAATTCAGTAAAGATTTTCTTCTTCTGCTGCGTTACAGACAAAATCACAGCGAGATCGAGAAAAGAAGAAGGGACAAAATGAACACCTACATCACGGAGTTATCGGCGATGATACCGATGTGCCACGCGATGTCCCGGAAATTGGACAAGCTGACAGTGCTCAGAATGGCAGTCCAACACCTTAAGACTATCCTCGGAGCTGTGACCTCATACACGGAGGGTCACTACAAACCGGCATTTCTCAGCGACCAAGAGCTGAAAACGCTAATTCTTCAGGTGAGTTGAATTCGAAAAAATCGTAAACGTGTTAGACCTTCACCCGTTGAATGTTGATAACCACTTATTTTGGATCGTACATATCAGTTGAAGCATATAGGTACTGACTATCCGGGCAGCAAAATTTTGTATTTAACCCTTTGCGGACGAAGATTGTTGGAAGTATACAAAAGCTTTTGCAAATTCTGCTAAATAAAACACTGAATGCTTAAATCAGACAGAATAAGGAAACTTTGTACTGATTTCTTGCTGTTCGAATGATTCAATCATTTCTTTGCAACTTGGTATTCCAAGCATGGAGGATTGAACAATGCAAAATGCGGACGTTCGTCCGCAAAGGGTTAAATTTCTCATTTCGGAGGGATTTTCGATTACTGAAACTGAAAATCGTGGGTTCTTTACAGACATGAAAACAGTTTTACAAACATGTCAAAAAAATAATTGAAGAATGTGTACTCTAAATATGTAATTTTGACAATATTTTGACTTGCTGAAGTCTCATTTAGCAATTGTAAAATGAAAACTCTCCTAGAACTTCCTCCATGTCTCTTCCTTAAAAAGCAGCTCCTCTAGTACCAATGTCTATTATTTGAAAGAAATTTCTCTTTTAATTGCCGTTTACTGAATAGCTAACGCGGACCGAGCAACTCACTTCAAGCTCCCCACTCAACGTCAATATTTATCTCCGTCATTGTGCACGCTATTGCTTTCAAGTAATTATGTGGTCACCAATAACTCCGTCACAGTATTCGAACAGATACATAATAACATTAGTATTTAACACTTAGCGGACGAAGATCCTTTGAAGTATACAAAACTTTCAGCAGACGAAGCTAAATTATATACCAATTGCTTAAATAATAGGAAAACCAGAAACATCAACATTTCATTTCGCCGAAATGTCGACATTTGTCCGCAAAGGGTTAACCAATTTTCATACCTATTAATCAACTCTCAAGACTTGATAATTTATAATATAGGTAACGGTATATAGTAAATAAGCTTTCAGCTTTTTTTATAATTCATTTAGTTACTTCTTGGTTATACATAATGCTTTATACAGTGTTAATCATGATGCTGTTTCTCGGTGTTGCCCCTTTCGGAATAAACGTGTGTCCTAAAAATCGATGCAAATGATTGAAACGCTCATGGCGAATAGAAACAAGAAAATTAAAAATATTCTTAATACTACATTTACGGATGTTTATAGCACGGTTTATTCTATTGTTCCTAGAAAAATTGATATTCGTTCGTTTAGATCTTGAAAATTGGGGATTTAAAAATAGACTATTAGAATATTATTAGGATACGCCCGAATTAAAATAATATTTTTCTGTTGGGTTAAAAGCTAGAAGCTAAAAAATGATTAATGTCAGTATTAAATATACATTAGGTAAATAGTTCGATGTAAAATGTTTACATTAGTACGAGCATCACAAATTACTGCAGTAAATGGCGAATTTTCAATTACCCGTTGTAACTGCAGTATGACGTAAATACTTTTATAAAACTAATAATTACAATCAAAGATACGAGTAAATTAGTAAAAGAAAATACTCATATTTTCCGAGAAAGAGAATTCCAAAGAGAGGTCGTTTTTTACACCGCTCCATGTGTGTATGCATCCCTCATTAACTCCTTCCGCTACATGTGAATGTCGTAACAGACGAACCGTACTGGGCAACGCAGTTGCTCGCGAAATAAGCCGAAGAAATCACGTAGATACTTATCTATATGCGATTTAGTATTTGGCCTGCAATCGTGACAGACTTGTGGTTTTCATGTTTAAGCCGTAATAAGTATCACGAGTCTGTCTTGTGGTAGCGCTGGAAGAAGCTGAAGGTGATTTACAGCTCTGTCGAACAGTCGAAAAATATTAAACACATAGGTGAATGAAAAGGAACTGTGGACGGTACTAAAATCATTCGCCGCTTTAGAGGTTCGATGTCGTATCAATAAATAATTCTAAGATCAACGTTTTCCTTGTTCTCCTTACTTTACGAGAACCGTTTCGTAAATACTTTACGAAAGTACTTTTCGACTTCAGCAACTAAATTACAATTAGGAGTCTACATAGTGTACTAAAAATGTGGAATATTTGCACCATGAACGTGTTGAAATGTTAACAGTTAAAAATTGATGGTTCAGTTCATGGGACGCGATGTTTACACTGTAAGGGGTTGGACTGCCTCGACGTGTTCAAAATGCACCGTATTTTGAGATTTCATTTTGTAAATAGAGAACATACTTTGTCCGACAATTTTCTTAACAGTAACAGAGATATGCATAAATAATATGTACAGATTTTTATTTTCAATTCTTCCTTAACACGTTGACTGCCAGGATGGTCACCGATGACCGGAGCTTTCAGATTACTCGGAAACAATTATAATTCGTAACATAACTGGCGTCAAACGAAAACGTTTAATAATTCAAATAACTGGATTATAGTCTGACCTAGTAATCGTCTACCAAATAATTGATAATTATTCCTTTTTATTTCCGCTACAAAATAATAAGTGATACATAAAACGCTGAGTTTTTCGTGGCAGTCAACGTGTTAAGACGGGGATGACGATCGAAAATATACTGCAGCAGATGCAACCGTATTAGTCTACGAGATTTTTCATGAACAGATTTCTGAAACAAAATAGTTTTCTTTTTTACAAAAAAGTGGTCCATTTGTTCATCGAAAAAATCCGATATCTCGACAATAGCGAATATATCTAATAATAACTGTGGTAAATTTTTTAAGAATCCGTCTTTATTCAAGTCATGGCAAACCTCTTTTCAATAAATCTCATTTTGAGACAAACACGTTTAAAGCCTTCGAGAATTTCTGTTAGAATGATTACAAATTTCGTTAAGTAGATAATTTGTCGAATTAAAATAATTTTCTTGACTTCGAACAAATTTGATTAGGTATAGATTACTTTCCGAATAACAAAGCATTGATTTATGAGAAAAAAGATTCATCGAAGAACGTTTTATCGCAAAATAATGTGAAGCATATGCATTATAAGTATGGAAACAGATTTTTCCATTAAACATTTATGTGCAATTTTAGCTAATTGTCTGTTACTAAAACTGTTCTACTGCATCTACGTATAAAACACAAACATTAAAATGTTTTTAAAATATTATACTATTCTGAAACGATTAGTGCCACAATTAAAGATTACTAAGAACGGGTGTTCTCACAGTATGATTAGAGAAAAAGACAGACACGTGAAAAATGGTTTATATCAGGAATATGATCGAGCACTGAGTTGACATCCCCCCTTACTCTTAAAAAGAAAGCAAACCTCTAATTCTCAGCATTTAAAATCTTGGCAATAAAATCCCAGTTTATTAACAGCAATTAACCCTTTACACTCGAGAGGTAACTCTCAGTCACCGCATGATTTAATAAAACAAAACTATGAAGTTGAACATTTAGTATTTTAAATTAAAGTTTGTGTTACTATGTGAAATATTTAAATAAAATAGCTTTGCTCCTTAATTTATCTGTGAATTACCGTTAAATTAGTTTCAAACAATGTCGTCTGTGTCTCATCGGAAAAAGTTGAATATTTCCAGTGGAAATCTTTCGAGTGCAAATGGTTAATCCATATAGTAAATGAAACACATATCGAGAAATCCTTCTATGCCGCCTCGAGCACCTAGTTTCCGTCGAAGCATGTGTACTTGGTTATTTCACTCCAGACACTTTTCATCGGCAGTCTCTAACCTTCCCTTCTGTTTCGAACTTGACCCGGTATACATGTACTATAACAAATTATTCGTCGCAGCCATTGCATCTATTAAAATTGTGTTTTAGCACTATTTATTTCAAGCAGCAATTTTAGGGTTAACTCTTTACAGAATTCAAGCACAGTTGAATATGACACTTTAACCCTTTGCGGACGAATGTCGACATTCCGGCGAGATGAAATTTTCATATTTCGAAGACTAAGTCGCAAGAAAAATGATTTAATTACTCGAATAGCAAGAAATCAGCACGCAGTTTCCTTTTGTTCTATCAATTGTACAATTGATATATAATTTAGCTTCATCTGTTGAAGGTTTGGTACATTTCAAAGAATCTTCGGTTAATTACTTCTCCAAGAACATACGGGATGTATCAAAGCGACACTTGTGTACGATATCATGATGATATTACAAACGATTATAGTAAAAATTGTTAAAATGAATAGATATTCGAATTTAATTTGAATGTGGAATCAGCTTCGACGTACTACCGCATAGAGTTAAGAATATCACAGAAATTAATCGCAACCTCTGTCAAAAACAATTAGTGTCACCGTCGGCGATGTGCAATTGAACCCATTATCGCTTATTGAATTACCAAAGCTTTCGCCTGCACCTCCATACGTTAGAGCGCGATTCGTCGTACCACCAAAGATGGTAAATACTCGGAGCTCCCAGTTACCGCAAAATCAGAGTTTCAAGCAAAAAGGACTTGACTTTCCCGGTTACAAGACACTTTCCTGCGGAGCACTTCTTAACCGAACGGATTATCTGGATCCACTAATGGTATCTGACCGTTTCCGTTAACAAACAATTATTTTTCCATGCGAGGCACTCGTTGGTCCTCGGTTTCTCAGGCGTTCAATGAAATTGCCGATCCGCTAATTGGGAGCAACGCGGGAGAAAAGTTTTTTCCGCGTTGCTTGTAAAAGGCAGTCCGCGTCGGTTTCGTAATCGCTTTATAGCGGACTAGGACTGTGCCTAACCGTCGCGGCGAACCTTTCTCCGGCATGCTATACATTTTTCACGGGGATCTATCTCATGACGAGTGAAAGAGAATGGGCTCGAAACGTGTAGATCTGCAATTAGACGCCGCACCGCGCCAGCACAATCCCAGTAACGCGCTGGTTCGCGGTACTCGATTCGCCGCGTGCTTTTGAACATCGATTTTTGATCATCGAAACACCCAACAATATGTAGATTCCCCTATACTTCTAACAATTAGTATAGAAACATGAAATGGAAGATAGAAGAGAAGGATTCTGAGAAATATCGGCTTAAAGGTGACCGATTAAGAGAAAGTCTGGAAACTATACACACTTGTTGATGTTTGAAAACTTTCAAGGAAATGGATAATCGTTTTCTGTGATGTGCATTTATCCACTAGTTGTAAAGATCTCGCTTCTACAATATTTTATATTCCATAGAAAACTAAATTGTAATATTTTTACAACTAATCAGTTATTCCAGTACTATTATACATAGTACACCTTCATTTTCCTCGTAAAAGCTTTAAAAGCATATTATCGGTTTTTACTTTCCTCCCACTATATTCATTAGTCACTATGCACTTCATGTTTTCTTTCGATACCCATACTTTTCTTGTAGCTGTATTCAACGATAACACTCGAAGCAGTTGGTTTGGTACTACGTGCATCTTTCATTATTTCAAGAATCTCAAAAATGTAAGAGCCGTCATTAAAATGTCCTACTGAGAAATATTGTAGTCAACAATTTCGGTAGTTTGACACTGTGGAAATGTTTTATTTTATAGGAAACGCTCTAATCAATTATTCAAGCTTTTATTAGTATTTTAAATGTCTCCGCCTAACAATCTCTGTAATAAATCAGTGGTCGATAAATCTTCATAGACCGGCTTAATGATTTCTCGTAACAAGTCACTTAGCATACTGTGTATCGTGCGTGCAGCCCTTTGGCGACATTCACCTCAATTTTCTTTACGGAAAAAACTTTTCCACGAATGTATCAGCACTTTTCTGTCATATTCCGTGATGATTGATACCGGGATTGTGCATATGCTAAAACATTTTCACATTTTCATTAGCCGAATAACTATGAAGGTTTATAATAACACTAGAATGTTTTTCCAATGATATTATACTGCCTGCCTCAATCATTTGTTTCGTTGCATGATCTGAACATAGTACTCGACTACTTTGCACTCGAAAGTTTTTCACTGGAAATATTTAACATTTTTCGACGAGATACAGACGACACTGTTTGAAACTAATTTAACGATCATTTACAGATAAATTGAGCGACAAAGTAATTTTATTTAAATATTTCCTATAGCAATGCAAAGTTTCATTTAAAATACTAAATATTCAATTTTACAGTTTCACTGTATCAGATCAAGTGGTGACTGAGAGTCGCCTCTCGAGTGCAAAGGGTTAAATATCCGAGAAACTCTTCTTATTCCGAAAACTCGAAAAACTGCAGCGATAGAGGCTCAAGATAACGGGCTACCGGATCCAGAGAAGGGGGGCCGTAAAACAACAGCTCTGCTCAATATACAGGGTGGGGCAATAACTATTAGCAGCTCAGATATCCTCGAAATTATAAGTTTCACAGAAATAATTACTAAAATACAATTGCACAGTACGAAGGGGGCCATCCGATGGCGATAATAGTTTCTTTTTGCAGGTGGAGGTACTTCGTATATTTGGAGGTCACCTCCATTTTTTTTAAATTGATCGTAATAGAGGATCTTAAAACGAATTCAACGACCTATTACATAAGGTCGTTGAAGGTCATAGAAAGTAGAGAAAGGCGACAATACTTAAGGTTTTGCCTACTTACTTCTGACAATTTCCTGAGTCCTTATGAATCCCTCTGGGACACGAAACTGTAAAAAGTCTGACTTTATACGCTATTATAATAATTGCAGAGAAAATAGTAATTAAATGCTGTCCACCGTCATAGTAATTTTCCTATTGCATCGAACGACGATATAAAATGTAATTAAATTATTTTCATTCGAAAGTATATAAGTTTTAAAGCCAATGGCAGTGTTTAGTTACGCACCTCTGCATCAAATAATTACAATCAGTTCGTCACTGATCTTTATTCGATTCTCATCGTGATAATACTCTTTTACGCGGAACTTGACCAACATTTTTTCAGTTCAGCCATTGACGTCAAGGAAAATGTAAACTTTAATTGACTGTCTTACTGTCTACTGTCTAGTGTAATGTTAGTGGCCGGGGAATGTTGTGTACGATGCGTTACGTTTTCTGCGAGACAATGAATATTCAACTATTAACATATTAACATTCTTAATCCAGACAAATATTGACATTTATTAATTGCTAAGTAAATAGCTTTAATGGTTGTGTAATGATTTTTTTGTAACTTTTGAAAAAGTACTACACTGATCTCCAAATAATAAATTTCTTGTAAATCTTATACACGGCTTGACTGACCTTTTTCACAGATCTTCATTGTCGACACTTTGAAAGAGAAACTTTGTTGTATTAGACATCTGTTTTATCTTAGTACGTAGAAGCACTGCTTGAAGTTCGTACGACCGTAATGATTGTAACCAATCGTGAGTGACTTACATATGTAATATCTTCGTCTACTTTAAATTTTAAATAGGATCACTGTTCCTTTGTCTTTCTATATATTCTTTGTCTAACGGAAAAGGTGCTGTCAAATGAATATATGAATATACTATTAATGTTATCGTTATGAGTCAGTTCTTAGGGTGATTTCATTTGTGACGCAACATAAGCCAAATCGGACGTATGATTATATAAACGTGTCCGTCATCTAGAAAATCCTGTACTTGCAAACTGTAAAATTTTCTCATTAAATATATTATAATATTTACGATCGATGAAAAACAGTAAAATACATCTATCACTCTTCTTTTCGTGCCTGTATCATTTATTTATATGTTAATATGCTTTCTCTATTACAATTACATCCGGTTGCTGGTAATGTCAGTGAGAAAAAGCTTCGAGTGCAAAGGGTGGCTGGATACATGGATTCGTTTAGCTGAAATTTCTTCAGATTGATGATGTAAAAGCTTGACATTATTCCAGTTAGCTACTGACATTATAATAAACATTATATAGATCTTTCTTCTGTTCCATGTTCCTCGTAACTCTTTATTAACCCTTTGCACTTGAGAGACGACTCACAGTTGTCATTTGGTTTGATACGGAAAAATTACAAAGTTTGATGTTCAATATTAAATTTCGTTTAACTTAATTATCCATGAAACGTTAAAATAGAATAGTTCTATCCCTTAATTTCTATATTATTTATAATAATATTAATTATAAAACATATCATTGATATTTCATTAGAAAATGAAGAATGTATCTGGCGGAACAATTCTCGAGTGCAAAGGGTTAAGTGTGATATTTGTACTGTTTTATATGGTAGTGTTATATGTGACCCATTGTGTACTATCGTTTTGTTGGTATGTACTGCTAGGCTCCAGTAGATCTACGGTGGTGTATTTATGCATAATATGACGTTCTTTCTATGATAAGCTAACGTTTGTTTTCTGTTGAACAATGTTCGCTACTGCATTGTAGCTGTGTAGGTTCTTATATCTTACTGTGAATGTTTTGCACTCTACTGTTATGTGGGTTTCGATATAAATTGGTTTTTTTATTGTTACATCTTCAAATAGTTTGCCTCTCGATAGTTTTCGGTCCCTATTACTTGGCCCTTAGAAGACCACTTTAGAATTTTCTCTATCAAGAAATGTTGACTATTTTGAATTACTATAGGTACTATTTGACTCATATAACGAAAGGAAAGTAACTTAGGTAATTATTTACAAGACTGATTCCTCGCCAATTTCGATGACCTTGAAATATGACGCCGAAAATATGGAAATTGGAAATAAGGTCTTGATTCTCAACAACTTTTCATGCTTATTTACAAAAAGTGTAACCCTCGTATTCATCTTGACATATATCGTTGAGATCATTGTTCCGTATACCTACGACTTTAAACTTATCAGCGGTGAGTATTGGTTCAAAAGTTGTGAAACATTAACGTTTCGCATTGCGCTAAAAATGTTCGTCTTCATTTTTATTTATTGAAATCTCGAACTTCTCGTAATTCTTCAAACTTCGTTTGGATAATAGAGATTGGTATTAATTGTACTAGTTTCTCTAATGTCCTGGATTAGTGATTTCATTGTAAAATAATTATGTAAAATGATAATTATGCATCATACTTTTCATTCCATTATGATAATTAAATAAATATCTATGACTTATGACAAAATATATGTGTATATAATACACAAAATAGTACGAATTTCCAAAGAATTTGGAGATTGTTTTGTTTTTACAACGTTTAAATTCCTAAGTAACGAAATAAATGCCCTTACAATTTCTAGCTCTTTTTCATTCGAAAAATGATGACTCTATTTTAATAATATCATGATCATTAACCCCTTGTCCTACAACAACGAGTGAGATTCGCGGTGAAGATTTTCAACATGATTCAACAAATATATATATTACTCAGTTCATTCGAATGCAAAGTAAATATTATTCCTCTGTAATCAACTATTATACTTAAAAGGTAATATAGGCGTAACATATGCTCAGAATTTTTCTATTTTTCAAACAAATTATTAATGACAAAGTGGCCGTATCGATCAATCCCAGTTGTAAAAGAAATCATAGGCCAAGGGGTTAATAACTCATAACCTAATCCGAAAGTGCAATTTGATTACTTTTATTCTTCCGTTGCTCTAGACTTTAAAATAATCCCCTAACAACTGTCCGACCTATACCCAAACGTTCCATACAGGTATCACATGTATCTGATAATCGTTTCGCCCAAAGAGTTGCTCCAGGTTATACCTACACGTGATAATGATAACTATCGTATCAACTGGTACACGTAATACTACAACTTTATATTACTAATTCTGCTGCTACTGATAGTAATAAGCTTAGATATTGAAATGTTCTTTGCATTCGAACATAGCGTAGCGAACAAAACGAATGAAACTGTAAAATATAGCATCTGTTTGAAAAATCAACATAAGAATATGGTGTGGCTAGAGTACGTTTCTCGCGGTTTAAACGCTTACGAATGAGTCTCGGAAAATAGAACGGCCAGAGTTCCTTTACACAATAGATTCCGTCACGCGACTGACCACGAAGCAGCGGTGTCGGTGGCATGGCCACTATTTTTCATTGTCGCAAACGTACGTGGATACGTTTTATCTTTTATCGGAACTTTCCTTCGCTCCGATCCCAGCCAACGGGCAACGGGCAACGAGTGAAATATTCGAGCAAGTGACCACGCCCGACATACCAGCGCGGATCGACACCGGCTCCATTATTACCGTGGAAACTTTCATTGTCGATCGCGCAGAGTTTATTACTCCCGATACTCGACCGATATCCGGCTCACGGGTAAATTAACAATTCCATCGTGTGACGGACGTGCTAACTGTAAACTTGGAATCCTTGATCACAGCCTCCGATATGACAAAGCCGGACACAACTTATTTTTCTTTCTTTTTTCCTCTCTGCCATGCACTGAAAGAATAAATTTCTTTGCACAATATGACGGTGTAAGCTGTAAATTACAGATTTATCGTTAATCGACCGGGTGACTCCTATCTCCTTGGTTTTATAGGTGTGTAGGTTACACGGTGAAATTTTTATTATAGGAAACGCTCAACGGGGAAACCAGGTACACGACGATCGAATTATGTTGACTCATTATAGGCAGAAACGAAAAACTTTGCTTGTCGAACTTTGATTTTAACGAACCGGTTTTAAACGCAATCGCGTCTTCTGGACATACCGCAAATGGAGATTAATTCGACACGGCGAGACGTTCGGATGGCCGATAAAGCGGACAGGTCCTGGATTCAATTTGTATTTACACGATGTGGTTTTTTTTCTTTGTTTTACGTTTTAAGCGTACGTACAATGAAACATAAGTAATAATTCACTACTGAAATAACTATTTAACCCTTTGCGGATGAAGATTGTTGAAAGTATACAAAACCTTTTGCAGATTCTGCTTAATTAAACACTAAACGCTTAAACGTAGAGAATAAGGAAACTGTGTACTGATTTCTCGCTGTTTGAATAATTAAATCATTTGTTTAGAACTTGATTTTCCAAACGTGGAAGTTTGATCTCAGCAAAATGCCGATATTCGTCAAGGGGTTAAAAATTGTTAGGAAATGATAATAAAGGTAATAAAAGTACGTCGAAATTGTCTTTTAAATATCAACACTCTTCATAGAGTGCTCTATCTCAACGTTTGTTTTTTGTCGAATCGATATTTAATCCTGATCGCAGCACATATCAACAAATTGTTCAAAGACAGTTCAAATTGTATACAAACAATTTTTGCCAATGCGATTTAACTTAAGGCGCGTATGCTCGGTTTTCTGTGTTCCGTGTTTTTGTAGGTTAAATAAATTATTTAAATACGTGAAAATTGTGCAGAAATGTAGAAAGTGTGTATAACAATTATTATTCCACATCAGGTATCTCGTTATCGCAATAAAATTGTCAAATTGGACAAATGTTTCGATGAATGAAAATCAAATCTACAAATTTTTCACTTTACAAGACGAATATTTCACTTTGCTAATGCAATCACGATGGTCAACGAATTTTAATTCATGTTGACGTATTTTGAAAATACGTGACTTTAATTGTTTCCATAATAATATAATAAGTGTTTGCAAAATGATCGAATCTCTATGAATATTTTACACGTATCGCTAGAAACCCGGAGCGAAGCGGATATTAATACGGGATAAGGTAGTAATAGAAGATATCAAGGTTTCGATTTGTATAAAATATTGATATTTCTGACAATGATTATACATCGAGTATTACAATAGCTAAACCACTCTCCTATAACAAACATTACCGATATTTACCGTTCCTTTTTCTATTAGACATCTTATGCGTCAACCGTAGGTAATAGAAAGTTTTTACGCGTGTCTGTTAAAGCAAAATGTACATTGATCTATTTTTTTATCCAAAAAGCAACAAATCTATGTTATTACCTTAATAGTTACAGTTTTACCATGTTGATAAAAGTTTAGTTAATAAAAAAGTATTTGTCGTTTTTATTATAGTATAAGAAAAGAAAGTGAAGTGGCATAATAGAAATATAAGATACTTGATTGGTAACAATATGAGACAGCCTCAAATTGGAAAGCTTATTGGTTACTTATACTTTGCACTTTAGCTAACTTTAACAGAGTCCTATAACTTAAGTTTCTCAAAAGCAACGCGATCTCGTATTATTCCTCTAATTTCTACTAATTCGATTTTGCATTCATTTGATGGAAGCAAAACAAAAGTTTTAAGTAAAGTTTATGCGCGTACAGTACATTTCACGTGAAATTCTTTATACTTGCTCGTTTGGTTATTTATGACTATTTTGAGACTCTCAATATTAAAATACAGGCTCATAACAGAATTATAATGGTCTAATCAAAATCTGTATCCATACGCTTTTGGATTCTCATAAAATTTTGCAGTCCAAACTGAAAATCAATCCAATATAGTGTAATTCGATACACCAATGTTCTACGGATGTTTCCTTTT